AGGTATATTAAAAGCCTCCCAGGTATATTAACGCCTGTCCTGGTATATTAACAGTCGCCCTAGTATAATAACGCCTGCCCTGGTATAATAACACCTGCCCTGGTATATTAACAGCCGCCCTGGTATATTAACGCCTGCCCTGGTATATTAACACCTGCCCTGGTATAATAACGCCTGTCCTGGTATATTAACGCCTGCCCTGAGATATTAACGCCTGCCCTGGTATATTAACGCCTGCCCTGATATATTAACAGCCGCCCTGGTATAATAACGCCTGCCCTGGTATATTAACAGCCGTCCTGGTATAATAACGCCTGCCCAGGTATATTAACGCCTGCCCTGGTACAATAACGCCTGCCCTGGTATATTAACAGCCGCCCTGGTATAATAACGCCTGCCCTGGTATATTAACGCCTGGCCTGGTATAATAACGCCTGCCCTGGTATATTAACAGCCGCCCTGGTATATTAACGCCTGCCCTGGTATATTAACACCTGCCCTGGTATATTAACAGCTGCCCTGGTATAATAACGCCTGCCCTGGTATATTAACAGCCGCCCTGGTATATTAACGCCTGCCCTGGTATAATAACGCCTGCCCAGGTATATTAACGCCTGCCCTGGTATAATAACGCCTGGCCTGGTATATTAACACCTGCCCTGGTATATTAACGCCTGCCCTGGTATAATAACGCCTGCCCTGGTATATTAACAGCCGTCCTGGTATAATAACGCCTGCCCTGGTATATTAACAGCCGCCCTGGTATAATAACGCCTGCCCTGGTATATTAACAGCCGCCCTGGTATAATAACGCCTGCCCTGGTATATTAACGTCTGGCCTGGTATAATAATGCCTGCCCTGGTATATTAACAGCCGCCCTGGTATAATAACGCCTGCCCTGGTATATTAACACCTGGCCTGGTATAATAACGCCTGCCCTGGTATATTAACAGCCGCCCTGGTATAATAACGCCTGCCCTGGTATAATAACGCCTGCCCTGGTATAATAACACCTGCCCAGGTATATTAACGCCTGCCCAGGTATAATAACGCCTGCCCTGGTATAATAACACCTGCCCAGGTATATTAACGCCTGCCCTGGTATAATAACGCCTGCCCTGGTATATTAACACCTGCCCTGGTATATTAACGCCTGCCCTGGTATAATAACGCCTGCCCTGGTATATTAACAGCCGCCCTGGTATAATAACGCCTGCCCTGGTATATTAACGCCTGGCCTGGTATAATAACGCCTGCCCTGGTATATTAACAGCCACCCTGGTATAATAACGCCTGCCCTGGTATATTAACGCCTGGCCTGGTATAATAACGCCTGCCCTGGTATATTAACAGCCGCCCTGGTATAATAACGCCTGCCCTGGTATAATAACGCCTGCCCTGGTATAATAACACCTGCCCAGGTATATTAACGCCTGCCCTGGTATAATAACGCCTGCCCTGGTATATTAACACCTGCCCTGGTATATTAACGCCTGCCCTGGTATAATAACGCCTGCCCTGGTATATTAACAGCCGCCCTGGTATAATAACGCCTGCCCTGGTATATTAACGCCTGGCCTGGTATAATAATGCCTGCCCTGGTATATTAACAGCCGCCCTGGTATAATAACGCCTGCCCTGGTATATTAACGCCTGGCCTGGTATAATAACGCCTGGCCTGGTATAATAACGCCTGCCCTGGTATATTAACAGCCGCCCTGGTATAATAACGCCTGCCCTGGTATATTAACAGCCGCCCTGATATAATAACGCCTGCCCTGGTATATTAACAGCCGCCCTGGTATAATAACGCCTGCCCTGGTATATTAACGCCTGGCCTGGTATAATAACGCCTGCCCTGGTATATTAACAGCCGCCCTGGTATAATAATGCCTGCCCTGGTATATTAACAGCCGCCCTGGTATAATAACGCCTGCCCTGGTATATTAACAGCCGCCCTGGTATAATAACGCCTGCCCTGGTATATTAACGGCCTCCCAGGTATGTTAACGGCCGCCACATACCTGTGGCTCATTTTAGCATTTTGCAGAGAAACAGAGAGAGATGGTATTGCGTTGCAATATGCGGACACGGTGGATATGAGGTAAACCGACCAGTGCAGATGTCATTTGGTACCACACAGGTTTCGATTGCATCATGGCACAGCATGATGTTCATTTAGTAAATTATGGTCCCATATAGAGGAAAATAGACCAGAAAGTAGGGGAGGCTTTAGGGCGGGGCTTCAAGCGGACTCTACCATGTCTCTACCATGACGACCTGTCAAGCAGGATAGAGGCGACTCGTATCTGAAGAAGCTTATTAAGTTTAATGTACATTTTGTTTGTCGCTAGCCAAAATTAGTATTCCGTGTTAATATCACAGTTAACATGAATTACAGATGCACCTTGCTAACCAAGCTAGTCTTGACGCTCTCTCTTGACTCTTGAAGTAAAAACTCCAATCAGGATTTTTTGGGTCATACAAATCCCCTGCATTCATATATAGACTGTAAATTCCCCCGTCTCATTAATTAGAGAATTGTGCTGTAATGTCTCTGAACAGATCAGCTCTGCTTTATGGCTTCACAAACACCTCAGATGTAGCTTCAGTTGCTGTGTACGATTAGTCATTCTATAAAAACCCTTGTCAAACTTTTTGTAGTAGCAGGTTTCAGGTCTAAGGTTTAAATTTAAGTGCTGGCTTGATTTTGTTTTTGTTTCTATTTTGATCACAGTTTGTTTTTTCATATTAAATAATCAAAACTGAAGCGCTGCCCTTCACCAGGGTGCTACTCTTAAATCTGGTCCCTGCTTGTCTCTGGTCCTTAGACTTGACTTTTCTAAATGCGAAACTCCTGATTTGAGGAAAATAAACTCGACAAATAAAGTGCTTCAACTTCTGAGTAATGACATTTCCGATGACCGCTCAAGTAAAAGCGTAAACCGGCTCCTCGTGTGAAGCATCCTCTTCCTCTCCTGCTGCAGAAGAACCACAAGTGTCACTTAACTCACTCTTATGGATTTAAACTTCTCAGGATCCGGTCCGGAAATATTTTGAGTCCACTTCTCATCAAATATCACTTAAAACTGGAGATGTTGTTTCTGCTCTTCAACATTCAGATTATATGTCCTCTGATGTTCTTGAGTTTAATTAGCGTAGCCCGACTGAAATATAAATAATGTGGAGAAGAGAGAGCCAACAATGGAGAACATATTCTGAAAATGTATTTTAAAACACATATGCCAAATAAAATTAGTTAGTATCAATCAGTATTAGTTAGTATCATTGTCCTTTCAGACTCCATCAGTCAGATTCACTTTCTGCTTTTTATTCAGTCATTCACATTAACAAACAGGTGTAAATAATAATATTAATGATATATATGTTGTAGCATTAATATTTAGTTGTGGAATTAGTAACATTATATATATAGAGTACTGTGTGGTTTTAGGCAGGCGTGGAAGATCTGTTAATATATTATATTTATAGATTAACAAAATACAAAGTGAGAGAATAAAAGAAAAATTAAATCAAATCAATATTTAGTGTGACAACCCCCTGCCTATAAACCAGCACCTCTATAATTCATTCTTCTTTTGAGCTCAAACACACTGAACGAGGCCTTTTCAGTATATGTCAGCTGCAGTTTTACACCTTTCCCAGTAACTAGTAGTGTAAGGGATTACAATCCAAAACAGAAATAACATTAAGAAACAACATTACATTATAACAAATAACATTAAAGATACTAATCCAAGAAAACGAGGGAGAGGGGCGTTCTTTCCACAGCTGGAAGTATTGTCATTATTGTGTCACAGTCTAAGATGCAAAGAACTTTGTCAGCCGTTGTAAACTTTGTGCAACTAGCAAAAAGCTTTCAACCACCAACAATTCTACATTTAATTTATTGAAGCATCTGCTGCGGCAATGTGAAACATTTTTTTTTTATAAAAACACTGGAAGCTGCTCTTATAAATGAATATGCAGGAAAACATTAGTTAAAAGGTAAAGAGAGACTTTTTAAAAATGTTAATTTATATACACTGAACAAAATTATAAATGTTTTTGCAACCATTCATCACAAGCTGAACTCAAAGATCTAAGACTTTCTCTATGAACACAGAACGCCTATTTCTCTCTGCCAAAATCTGTGTTAGTGAGCACTTCTCCTTTGCCGAGATAATCCGTCCACCTCACAGGTGTGACATATCAAGATGCTGATCAGACAGCATGGGTATTACACAGGTGTGCTTTAGTCTGGCCACAATAAAAGGCCTTAGGCTGGCCACAATAAAAGGCCTTAGGCTGGCCACTATAAAAGGCCTTAGGCTGGCCACAATAAAAGGCCTTAGGCTGGCCACCATAAAAGGCCTTAGGCTGGCCACAATAAAAGGCCTTAGGCTGGCCACAATAAAAGGCCACTCATAAATGTGCACACAGCCTATAGCCTACTGTAGAGCATCATCTGGTCTGAGAGGCAGCAGTGTTTTCAGCTCAGCTGCTTGTTGACTCCTCAGGTTATTTATTGTTCCAGTAAAGTGAATTCATTTCTAAAATGAGCTGCTGAACAGGTTTTCCGTCACTTTTTAGGGGGGTTAAGGGTTTTAAAAAAAACATAGTAATGAAAGGAGTAATGTAACTAATTACTTTTAATACCCAGAAATAAGTAAAAGAATATTATTACTTTTTAAGGAGTAGTAAGTAAAAAGTAACTTATTGCAAAAGTCTGCTCCATTTCTAATAAATTCAAAAGTCAGCCCACTGGTTTTTAAATCTCCACCCTGGCTTTCAGGCACATAAATCTTTAAACAAGCTGCATCACAACCACAGAGCCACAAGCTCGCTGTTTATCTGTCACTGTCATGAGGCAGAAACCTGTTGATTGGTAACCCTCTGACCTTCTGTCACATCAGACCGATCAGCGTTCAATGTGAACGTTGCAGCAAGCTCAGCGACCTGCACTTACAGACAGACAGACAGACACTCAGACTTTTACCTCTCTTAAGTAGCAGGAAATTCCTCGAAGGGCTTCACCCATGGCGGTAGGAGAGGGGAGCTGTGTGAGAGGAAGACAGAAGTAAAAAGAAAAGTGAGAGCAGGTGCAGCGAGGATTCTTCTTTCCTGTATTTGTGTGCTGAGCTTCTGTTCATAGTATCAAACTGCTGCAGAAAACAGCGACTACAAAAGGTATTTACACTCTGGGACGCAGACAAACACATGTGCTGGTGTGTTTGAAAGCCATTGATTAAACAGAGCTTCTGTTCATCTCTCAAGACTAAGCAGCTTAACAGTTTGTTTTTTCTTTATAATGGCTATACAGCCTCAGACAGCAGCTAGCCTGGCTGCAGATTCTTGTTTCTTTATTTTCCCCTTGTGATTGTGAAGTCAAATTGTCTACAGGCATGCTAACAGCTCTGTGAGGCTGTGTTTAGACACAGATCTAGACCTTGGGAATGTGGAGGTCTTTAGAAAGCGAGGACCTCACATGGCCCCACAGACCTTCAAAGGTCGATATGAGGGCTCAGACTGGGTTTTAAGGGTCAGGTTAGAATTAGGTTAAAGTTAGCGTCAGGGGCAAGGGAGTGCATGCTAACAAGGGTCCTCACAAAGAAAGACAAACATTTGTGTTACCGGGGGTGGGTGCTCCAGGCAGGTGTGGAAATGTTTCGTCTGGTCGGGTTTCACCCGTTTCAGAGGCACCCGGGACTCTCCGATCAACTCATTATGAGTCAACTTGTCCTCGTCGCATACAGTCAACCTGTACAGAGGAAGGAGAGGAGAGAGGAAATAAGACAGGAGAGGAAACAAGACAGGAGAGGAAACAAGACATGAGAGGAAACAAGAGAGGAGAGGAAACAAGAGAGGAGAGAGGAAACAAGACATGAGAGGAAACAAGAGAGGAGAGAGGAAACAAGACATGAGAGGAAACAAGAGAGGAGAGAGGAAACAAGACAGGAGAGGAAACAAGACATGAGAGGAAACAAGAGAGGAGAGGAAACAAGACATGAGAGGAAACAAGAGAGGAGAGAGGAAACAAGACATGAGAGGAAACAAGAGAGGAGAGAGGAAACAAGACAGGAGAGGAAACAAGACATGAGAGGAAACAAGAGAGGAGAGAGGAAACAAGACAGGAGAGGAAACAAGACATGAGAGGAAACAAGAGAGGAGAGGAAACAAGAGAGGAGAGAGGAAACAAGACATGAGAGGAAACAAGAGAGGAGAGAGGAAACAAGACATGAGAGGAAACAAGAGAGGAGAGAGGAAACAAGACATGAGAGGAAACAAGAGAGGAGAGAGGAAACAAGACATGAGAGGAAACAAGAGAGGAGAGAGGAAATAAGACAGGAGAGGAAACATGAGAGGAGAGAGGAAATAAGACAGGAGAGGAAACATGAGAGGAGAGAGGAAACAAGACAGGAGAGGAAACAAGACATGAGAGGAAACAAGAGAGGAGAGAGGAAACAAGACATGAGAGGAAACAAGAGAGGAGAGAGGAAACAAGACATGAGAGGAAACAAGAGAGGAGAGAGGAAACAAGACATGAGAGGAAACAAGAGAGGAGAGAGGAAACAAGACATGAGAGGAAACAAGAGAGGAGAGAGGAAACAAGACATGAGAGGAAACAAGAGAGGAGAGAGGAAATAAGACAGGAGAGGAAACATGAGAGGAGAGAGGAAATAAGACAGGAGAGGAAACATGAGAGGAGAGAGGAAACAAGACATGAGAGGAAACAAGACATGAGAGGAAACAAGAGAGGAGAGAGGAAACAAGACATGAGAGGAAACAAGAGAGGAGAGAGGAAACAAGACATGAGAGGAAACAAGAGAGGAGAGAGGAAACAAGACATGAGAGGAAACAAGAGAGGAGAGAGGAAACAAGACATGAGAGGAAACAAGAGAGGAGAGAGGAAATAAGACAGGAGAGGAAACATGAGAGGAGAGAGGAAACAAGACATGAGAGGAAACAAGAGAGGAGAGAGGAAACAAGACAGGAGAGGAAACAAGACAGGTGAGGAAACAAGACATGAGAGGAAACAAGAGAGGAGAGAGGAAATAAGACAGGAGAGGAAATAAGACAGGAGAGGAAACATGAGAGGAGAGAGGAAACAAGAGAGGAGAGAGGAAACAAGACAGGAGAGGAAACAAGACATGAGAGGAAACAAGACAGGAGAGGAAACATGAGAAGAAACAGGAGAGGTTTCGGTTTCAAAATCCCTTTATTGAACATTGAAACCAGAATAGCAAATCAACTCATTGTCACATCATCACGTTAACGAGAAAACATAATTCACTCTTCGGATATGTACATTCAGCTCTCAGTCTCCCCCCACAGCCCATGTATGACTGAAGGCCTGGATATTGGCCATCATTACATAATAAGCAAGCTCCACGCTTAATCGAGCCTTAAGCAGTCCCTTCAGGACCGGCACCGGCTCTACACAGCCGGCACTCTCAGCCCGGTTTCTGCACGTCAGCCAGACGGCCATCTTTGCAGAACCCGATAAAAGTTCACCAAAGTGCACCGACTTCTTTTTAGCACTGTATTTCAAAAATAAACAAACTAAAAGAAAAAGTCTCCCCAAGACACTGAAACCACCGTTTTAAAAGCTCCACAAGTGCTGACAGACGAGGACACTGAACAAATAAGTGTGCCAGAGTCTCAGTCTGCGAACAGAAAATACACTCCTCCCCCAACTCTGGATCCAGGTGTGCTCTGTATCTGTTTGTAGCTACTGCCCCATGTACAACTCTCCACTGGAGGTCTGCTGTCCGCTTTTCAATACGCAGCTTGTACAGGGACCGCCAGCTGCCTTTCGGGGAAGCATCTGGACCGAAGAACTCAGTCCACCTCGACTCCTTCAACCCTGCCGAAGAGCGCAGGTTCAGAACTTTAACGCACATTTGGTAGACTGCTTTCTTCCCCACAGCTTGAAACTTGTCCAGGTGGGGGGTTGTGAAAGACAACAGCTGAACTCCTTCCTCCTGCCACTCCCCCACGGCTGGGGTGATAGACAGGGAGGGGAAACTGTAACAACAAAAGCTCTTAGGGATTGTGGCAGTGCAGCACAGACCTCCTCTGCAACTCTGTCGATCACCCGGACAGATGTGATGCTGCTGCTCTCCTTCAGGCCTCCACGGCTGTTGCCGTCTTTTTCATCAAGTGGCCGAGTTTGGTGCACCCACCCTCTCGGAGCTTCCCTCTCAGGCTGGCAGACTGTAGTAGACTGTGAAAAATAAAGGTTCCTCAAACACCCACATGCCAGGAACCTCGTTTGCAGCACGCGTGAACTTAAAAATCTGCCATGCCTGCAATACAGAGCTGTAAAAAGGCGTCAGCCCATTAAGGTCCACATCCTCGGATTGCAAGAGGAAAAGAGGAGAGAGGGAACAAGACAGGAGAGGAATCATGAGAGGAAACAAAAGAGGAGAGAGGGAACATGAGAGGAAACAAAAGAGGAGAGAGGGAACATGAGAGGAAACACGAGAGGAGAGAGGGAACATGAGAGGAAACACGAGAGGAGAGAGGGAACATGAGAGGAAACACGAGAGGAGAGAGGGAACAAGACAGGAGAGGAATCATGAGAGGAAACAAAAGAGGAGAGAGGGAACATGAGAGGAAACAAAAGAGGAGAGAGGGAACATGAGAGGAAACACGAGAGGAGAGAGGGAACATGAGAGGAAACACGAGAGGAGAGAGGGAACATGAGAGGAAACACGAGAGGAGAGAGGGAACAAGACAGGAGAGGAATCATGAGAGGAAACAAAAGAGGAGAGAGGGAACATGAGAGGAAACACGTGAGGAGAGAGGGAACAAGACAGGAGAGGGAACATGAGAGGTAACATGAGAGGAGAGAGGGAATAAGACAGGAAAGAGGAGAAGAGAGAGGGAACAAGATTGGAGAGAGGGAACATGAGAGGAAAGAGGAGAAGAGAGAGGGAACATGAGAGGAAACACGAGAGGAGAGAGGGAACATGAGAGGAAACACGAGAGGAGAGAGGGAACAAGACAGGAGAGGAATCATGAGAGGAAACAAAAGAGGAGAGAGGGAACATGAGAGGAAACACGTGAGGAGAGAGGGAACAAGACAGGAGAGGGAACATGAGAGGTAACATGAGAGGAGAGAGGGAATAAGACAGGAAAGAGGAGAAGAGAGAGGAAACAAGAGAGGAGAGAGGGAACGAGAGGAAATGTTGACATGTTTTTAGTAAAATAAACATGACATTTTTAATCCTGATTTTTTTAGAACACTAAAACCTGAAAATCAGATTTACTTCATAAACATCTGAGTGAAAAGAGTTTCTTTCTTCTTTATTTCATTCCTTAAAAAACTAAAAACATCCCTAAGATCTGCACGTGTCTTCTTGTCCCTGAGGGGGGACACGACAGGACCAGAGACCTCTAGCTGGATATTTGACCTCTGAGAGCAGCAGATAATGAGGAGGACACTTCCTCTGGGACTTCCACCGGTGACTCAGGCTTTTCCTCCAGAGCTGCAACGTCTTTGTTGCAGCAGCAGGTGGTGGAGGAAATCCTCCTCCTCCTCCTCCTCCTCCTCCTCCTCCTCCTCCTCCTCCTCCTCCTCCTCCTCCTCCTCCTCCTGCAGCTGCAGACAAACTCTCAGCACAGAACATGGATGTGATGAAGGTCAAACTGCAGAAGCTGCCAGTCTTAAAATGAAACGTCGTCAAGCCCTCTCATATATGGGACCACCGCAGACTTAGGGAGATATTCTAGATGCTGAACGGTGGATTTGAACAGATATGAACTGTTAGCTAAACGTCTTCAGTGGCGCTGACCCTGAACACCGTCTGATTTAAAAACAGAAATCAGTGCTGCACAGTTTGGTGTTTCGGTGTGTTCCTGAGTTTTTATGAGAAGAACCATTTGGGATTTAGACATTGTGAGATTTTATAGTGATTCCACCTGCCGTAACTTTAGTTATCCATCAGTCAATCACACGGGAAACAGGAGAAAGGAAACTGGAGAGGAAACAGGAGATAAGAGAGGAAGCAGGAGATGAGATAGGACACAGGAGATGAGAGAGGAAACAGGAGATGAGAGAGGAAACAGTAGATGAGAGAGGAAACAGAGGAACAGGAGAGGAAAGAGGGAACAAGAGAAGGAAACTAGAGGAAACAGGAGATGAGAGAGGAAACAATATAGGAAACAAGAGAAGACACAGGAGATGAGAGAGGAAATAAAATAGGAAACGAGAGGAAACAGGAGATAAGAGAGGAAGCAGGAGATGAGATAGGACACAGGAGATGAGAGAGGGGAAACGAAAACTAAGAGAGAAAACAAAAGAGGAAACAAGAGAGGACACAACAGATAAGAGAGGAAGCAGGAGATGAGATAGGAAACAGGAGATAAGAGAGGAAATAAAATAGGAAACAAGAGAGGACACAACAGATAAGAGAGGAAGCAGGAGATGAGATAGGAAACAGGAGATGAGAGAGGAAAAAGAGGAACAGGAGAGGAAAGAGGGAACAAGAGAAGGAAACAGGAGATAAGAGAGGAAATAAAATAGGAAACAAGAGAGGACACAATAGATAAGAGAGGAAGCAGGAGATGAGAGAGGAAACAGGAGATGAGAGAGGAAACAGGAGATGAGAGAGGAAACAGAGGAACAGGAGAGGAAAGAGGGAACAAGAGAAGGAAACTAGAGGAAACAGGAGATGAGAGAGGAAATAAAATAGGAAACGAGAGGAAACAGGAGATGAGAAAGGAAATAAAATAGGAAACGAGAGGAAACAGGAG